AATGAACTTCTATTTCAGACTTCAGAGGTCACAGATAGCTTTAGTAATATGGATATTTTGGACCCTCAAATTTATTTTAATTTTATTTTTTTTCCCTCAAAGCCCCAGTAGATAGTTGTATGTCATAGCTGCACATCCTTCTAGTTGCTGTATGTGGGACGCGGCCTCAGCATGGCCAGAGAAGCGGTGTGTCCATGCGCGCCCAGGACCTAACCCGGGTCACCAGCATCGGAGTGCGCGCACTTAACCACTAAGCCACGGGGCCGGCCCACCACAGAATCTTTATAAGAGGGAGGCAGAAGGGTGGGAGAGAAAAATCTGACAATAGAAGGGGAGGGAGAGATTTTGGAAGATGCTATGCTGCTGGCTTGAAGATAGAGGATGGGGCCACAAGCCAACAAATGCAAGCAACTTCTAGAAGCTAAAAAAAGGTAAGAAAACAAATTCTCTCCTAAAGCCTCCATGAGGAACATAGAACTGTAACCCATTTTAGACTCTAGCCTCCAGAACTATAAGAGAATAAATTGGTGTTCTTTTAAGCCACTAAATTTGTGGTAATTAGTTACAGTAGCAATATGAAGCTAATATCCTACTTAACTTATACCTTAATAAACTACCCAGGCCTTGCTCATGACTTTTTACATAATAGATTCTCAACGAATATGTACTAAATTGAATTCCCTTAAAAAAATTAATATTCAATATAAATAAGTTTACCAAAGTATAATTGTCAAGAAGTTAAAAACATGATTCTTATTCAAATATATTATGAGCATGTGTCAAAGATTTATTTATCTCATTAATGAGAGACCCAGCAGGATGGTAAACCTGGTTCAAGACAATACAAGAAACTATGAGCTATACATAGTGGGGAAAAAATGCTGGAATAAGACTCAAAAGTTAAACATAATGCCGGTTAATGTCTGGCAGGGCAACAAATCCCCCTTTGGGATTATCTTTTCTACCAAAATGAAATCACCTCCACTGGACAAAAATAATTTGCAATTTACCAATCTTCTACAAATTAACATCTAACGTTACTGAGTCTGGGACCTCATTAATAGTAAATACTAAGTCAAATGACCTCCTCCTAGAACTTCAAACGACCCTTAAACAAACTTCTTAGATAATGCTCTTGTTATAACATCGAAAGGGCACACAATAACCCTTTTTTCTTATTTCCAAATTTTGTACAATTTTTCTAAACACACTTGTTCCAGTTATCTATTAGTGAGTAATAAACTACTCCAAAATTTTGTGGCTTAAAACCACAATATTTTATTATATATCACAATGTTATGAGTGAGGAATTTGGGAAAGGCTCAGCTGAGTGATTCTTCTGCTCCACAGGGTCCTGAATGGGGTTGGTTGCTCAATGATATCCAGCTCGCAGTTGAGGCCATCTGCAGAGTCCAAGACAGCTTCATTCACCTGTCTGGTGTCTTGACAGGGATGGCCAGTAAGTTAGATACAGCTGGACCCCTCTCTCTCTCCATGTAGTCTCAGGGCCTTTCCACGTGATCTCTTCAGCAAGGTAATTGGGTATCTTACATGGACTCATAATGTCAATCTTAAAGACTAGAGCAGAACTGGCATAGCATCACCTCTCCCACACTTTGTTGGTCAAAGCAGTAACAGTCCAGTCCAGATTCAAGGAGAGGTGGAAACAGAACCCGCCTCTTGATGGGAGAACTGTCAAAGAATCTGTGGCCTTGTTTAATCCACCACAAGTTTTACCTTGTAAATTTTTATTTTCATTATATTGCTAACCCTTTTGTCCTAACATCTGTTGCACCAAGGGTTCCCATAACTTTCTGGGATGTTTTGTTACAACTTTGTTGAATACATGAGAAATGACCCTCTGGGCAGCCCAACAGTCTTTTTTCCCCTCTATAACCCTTTGCAAGCACTCAGAGACAGTCTTAAAGCAATGGTTCTCAAAGCAGAACCAGTAGCATCAGCATCACCTGGGAACTTTTTACAAACGCAATTAATTCTCAGGTCCCACTTCAGACCTACTGAATCAGAAACTCTGGGGATCAGTCTGTGTTTTACCAAGCCCTCTTGATGATGCTGAGAACCACCGATTTAGGGTTTTACACTGCTTAACGAAAATTAATACCATCTGAAACCAGTCTCTTAAGAAGGTAAATTTTATGGGTTTTTTCTTTACCACCATTAAAAAAAAAGAATGTATACAGTCTCTAAATACCACAGTAGATTATTTACTGCTTCTGGAGAAAGGAGAGACAATGCCAAACAAAGCCTGGTAGCTTTCTCTAATTGATGTCCTCTCTCAACTGTCAAAATCCTCTTCTACCTACCTGGCAGGCAGGGGAGACTTTTCTTGCACCCAGTCAAGGGACACTCTCCAGAGGCATCATACCTTACTTCTAAAGAATCACTTGTGAAACGAATTTGTACCCTCTCCATCTTAAAATGGGACTATTACACAGCTCAGAAAAATATACTATTCTCTCAAAGGAACTCTCATTAATCTCCCTCACAGACAGGTGTTGTATGAGAAAAAATGGATAATTTTGTTGATCCTCTTGAGGACATCTTGTTTTCTGTTTCTTTGATTTCTGCTCTTCATTCTTTCTTTTCTTCTACTTTCTTCAGTTGTATCCTATAGATCATTTATATTCAGGCTTTCCTATTTTCTTATATAAAACTGCTATAGTTGTATCCTAAAACTCTTGATAATGTTGATATGTTTATCATTCAGTTCTAAATAGTCTCTACTTTCCATTGTTTTCTTAAGTAGTCCATGAATTAGAAGTGTAGTTTTTTTTTAATTTCTTACTTCTAACATAATGATATCAGAAGACAGGATCTGCATCATCAAGGATCAGCAAACTCTTCCTTTAAAAGGCCAGGTAGTAAATATTTTAGGCTTTGTTGGTCAAATGGTCTCCATTGTAAGTACTCAATTCTGCCTTTGTAGCCCTAAAGCAACCAAAGACAATATGTAAATAAATGAGAGTAGCTATATTCCTTTAAAACTTTGCTTAGAAAAACAGGCAGCTGGCCAGATTTGGCTGTACGCCATAGTTTGCCAACCCTTGGTCTGTCTATACGGCACCAAGTCTTTGGCCATTGTTAAGACTTGTCGTTAGCTAGTACATGAGGTTTTGTAATGTTACATGCATGCTTGAAAACCAATTATCATCTTATCCTTGTTCTGCTCCACTTCTTTAAGGCTCCGGCCTGGCCCATTTAAACATCTGCTTTTGTTAACTTGTCACAGTAATTAAGAGACTCAGTGTTTGGAATGAAACAGACCTCAGGTGCCAGCTTTGCCAAGGGGTGGTTTGGGGCAAATTAACGTCTGTCATCCTCAGGTTCCTCGCTACAGAGAAAATACTACCACCTACCTCATGGGGTTGGCATAAGGAAAAATTCGAGATAATCCATATAAAACACCTAGCAGAGTGCCAGGCCCACTTCAATCGTTATTAGTAGCAGTATTAGCATCATCATGCCATTGAACCTCATTACTCTGTGAGGCAAATATCATTAAACTCATTTTATAAAGAAATTAAGGCTCAGACATGTTCAGATAACTTGCCCCAAATCTGATCGCCAGTGACAAAGCACTGATTCCCAGCCAGAACTTCTATTTCCAAATTCTAAATTTCCAGTACTTGGGCCCTGATTAATCCAGTCACATTAACATGTAAGGAATTTACCGTATGCCATTCCTAGGCGAGGCCCCATTTTAAGACACCCGGAGAAAGGAGTTGCGAAATGCACAAGAATTAATTCTTCACAGTGGAAGTTTAGTCCTTAAGGGGAAAGAGCGAGTTTCATGAGCTCAACCGACCGAAAAGTCATGGGAGGTGCCAGCGGAGCTAACAAACCACTAAACGGACTTCTGGAACCAGGGTGCCGAGGCTTATAACCTGGACAAACTCTTTTCTGGGCTTGATCCTCTAAGGAAGTGGTGTCACCCCGGGGCGCCCCAGGCTGGCGCTCCTCACCCTCAATGACCTTCTGCCCACGGCTGTGCTGCCCTTTTAGGCTCTCCCGCTCCACGTGCCTGGAGCACCTGGAGCCTAAAAATATCGCCCTGGTTCAACCTCCCGGGTTTTCAACCTTCGGCTTTTTCAAAAACGGGTTCTGTCATCACTTTGAGACACATAAATCACAGCCCTGACCTGCTGTTGATTCAGCGGGTGTGACGTGCCGCTGAAAGTGGCGACAAAAGCAGCCCCTTTCGATGACCTCAACTTTTTTTTTTTTCCTTGCACTCGGTTCACATCGTATGCGGTGAGGACCGCCGGGCAGCCGGAAGGCTGTGTTGGACGTTCGATAAATAGCCCAAGAATCTCCAATTCTCCCAGCTCAAGCTCAGCCTGGGACTCTTCAAAGCCATACCCTGTGACAATCACAAGGGTTTTCTCCTCCCCGTCGGTGACGGAAAACTCGTGACTCGGAGCTGAGCGCTGGGCGGGCGCAGGGAAACCGGGGGCGGAGCTACTGCAAATCCAGATCGCGAGGAAGCCCCCGACGGACAGCGCGTGCGCAGTCTCTCGCCGCGGGACCTCCTTCCCGCCGCTGAGACTAGGAAGCGGGACGCCAAATCTGTCCCCGCGCAGCCGCCGCCGCCGGGCGCCGAGCGGGGCGGCCGCCCTCCCCGAGGCGCGCCTGCGCACGTTCCCACGCACGCTCCGGCGTACGGCGGCGGCCAGGGGTCGCGAGCCGGTGGAGGACCCGCGCGCGGAGGAGCCCGGAGAGTCAACGCTTCTTCCCTCCCTCCCCTATTCCCCTCCCCGCTCCCTCCCCCCCCTCCCCAAGAATGTTCCGCTACGAGGTGAGCTGTTGCGACCGGAAGTGACCCCTCCCTCCCTCCCGCGCCCCTCAGTCTTTCTCACCCCCCGCGCGTCCGTCCCGAGGTCCTGGGGGGGAGGGGGCGGGCGGTGGGACCCTCTGGACCGAGTGGAGTGCCTCGGGCCTGGGGTCGCAGGTTTAATCCGAGGGCTGTGAGCTGGCTTCAGGGGGCGGGACTGTCCTATCAGTTGTCGCTGGGGAGAGTTGGCCTCTGTTTTGGGGTGGGGAGGGCTCGTTAAGTGCCGTGACCAGACCACCTCCCACCCCCACCCGGGGAGGAGCGCGGAGGGGAGCGCATGGCACCCACCCTGTGGCTCTTCTTGAGGAAGAGTCGCCCAGGAAAGCCCAGAGACACGTTTCCCGCCCTGGACCCGGAACCACCTCCCCTCCAGTTACACACACCTCTACGCACAGGCAGCCGTCCGAATCAAGGGGGCCTGGCCTTGCCCTTCGACTGGGGCCGAAGACTGTTTACTGCAGAGGGCTCCGCGTTGAGCGGGGGCGTGTCCAGCAGAAGTTCCTTCTGGGCGAGTGGAGGGAGACGTGGGTTTGGTGACGGTCCCGGGAATGTAGCAATAGTCGAGAGTCCTGACCCTGTCACTAATTCACTGTATGACCTTGAGCGACTCCTAATCTCCAGACATAAAGTTTCTGGATCTGTAGAATGAAGGGGCTGGTCTAATGATCTCTAAGAGTCTGTCCAACTTAAAAAAGCAGTGATTGGGTTAAGTAGATCTTTACGATTTGGAAGGGAGTGGCTGCTGGAAGTTGCCTCTGATGTGCAGACAGTTGCATGCCTACTTTGTGTAAGTTTGGGAGGGCTTAAGATAGGCAGAGTGGCCCTTTGGCCTAACCTTTTGGAATAGCCTGGCTAAGAGGTAGCCAGGCAAGGTATAGCACAAACCTGCCTGCCCAGAGACTGTGGAATGCCCATTCTGAGTCTCTGAAAATTGGGGACACATATTTCATAGGAATGTTTCAAGACCAAACTGACTTTCTGTAAGCATGGAGAGAGAAGATGAGATGTGGTAGGCAGAGTTGCCAAAAGAAAAGAAAACTTGGAAAATGTAAATCAGCTGAAAACTGAAGTGGTGGGGGAAAATATTTAAAATAGAACACACCTAAGTTGTTATGGTGATGTCTGACATTGTTCAGCAATCCATAATCTTTGCCTAAATTTGTGCTTCATTTGATCTTCACAACTCTCTGAGGTGGGTGGTGTTGTCTTTGCATTACCACTTAGGAGACTGAGGCTTAGAGCCTAACAGAGCCTGAGATGCGATAGGTGCTGGAGAGGTATTTAATTAATTAATCAGAAAGAATGTAACTTGCCCAGGTTCGCAGCACTTGTAAAAGTGGAGCCAGAACGTAAACTTGCTGTATCACAGCTTTTCGAGAGTTCACTTAATTGTGACTGAAAATTTAGCTTTCTGTTTTATCACCAGAGTTTGGGCCTATAGGAAACAGAAGGGGAGAAGTTTGAAAAATGAAGAGAAAGCTTTAAAAGGGAATAAAAAAAATGGTTGAAAAGATGACATGAATATGGGGAAGATGAGATTTTTGTTGGAAAACATACATAAAACTGACACAAAATAATAAAGTGTTCATTTTCCGTTGTCATTACTTTTCTAACCATTGATATAAAGGAAGTTGCAGGCCTAATTTGTTGGTTGTTTGAGGAAATGCTGTTATTAGATTCTTGATAAATAGAGAAATGGAACGTTTTGAGGGGGGAGGTTAAATGAAGTAAGGAATAGGAAAGAGAAACTGAAAGAAAAGAAGATCCTGAAATCTTCCAGTGGCAGGGAAAGTGGGGGATAGAAAAAATGCCATCTTTACAAAAAGTCATAATGAAGCTATTATGTTAATTGGGAAGGTAAGATGAACATTTTTAGAACATTTTTAAAATGAGGTTGTGAACTTCGTGAATAGCTAATCTCTTTCCTCTTTTTTTAGTCTTTGGAGGATTGTCCTCTGGATGAAGATGAAGATGCATTTCAGGGCCTGGGAGAGGAAGATGAAGAGATTGATCAATTTAATGATGATACATTTGGGTCAGGTGCAGTTGGTAAGTGATACCATTCTCTTATGTCATTTTGGTGTCTTGCTCTTTTCAGATGATCTCTTTTCTAAGTGCTTTGTCTCAGTAGGAGTAACCTCAGTCACTAACTTGGCATTCTGTTCTTGTTCTCAGTCATAATAGTCTAGTCTTCACTGGAAGCATCTACCTTGTTCCTTGTGGCCTCTTTTTGCCTCACTTATAAAACCAGGTGTTCTCTAAGCCCTATTCTTTCCACCTATATGATCTATGGCTCTAGGTTGACACTGTAAGGAATTCAAATAGTTAGAGAAGTAGACATTTTACAAAGGTTAAAATAATCCTAGAAGAGAAAATTTTTATTTGTAGAACATGTAACTTAAGGAAAACTAGTGAACTAGGAGAAAACTCAATTCAGTTATATATGTTTTAAAATTCAATAAAATATACTATTGATTAATAGTATATTGCATGACCCTGCTATTGTCTTATAGTAGCTTCAATAAAATCAAAAGCTTTTTATTCTTATTCTTATAAAAAGAATTTTGGTAATAGAAAGTCTGTAAGTTAGAAGAGTGCTGTGCACAGATGAAATTTCCCCATCCCTGGATATAGAAAATATTCTAGGAGTTGGAAAAGGTTAAGAAGTTAAAGAACCAAACTAAATTTACCACAAGCGTATATGATAAAGCTTGAGAATTAGAGATCCTGGAACAAGTATACTAAAATAAGTTAAAATTAAACTGTGCTTTTAAAAGAAATGAGTAAGTAAGAGTCAGTGCAAATATTTTTGCTTTGACTGTTGATGTGGAAAAGCGGCAATAACACTGTATGGGTTGGAACGTGTAAATATATGTGATTTCTTTAGAATCACAGCACTTCTGTCTATGCAACAAATATTCGAAGTTAAGTAATAAAGAAGAGGAAATTGAGCATAGTGAGTAATCGCAAGATGTTGAGTATCAAAAACAAATAAGAGGTCTTAAAAGTGTTGTAGTAGTTACTGGTTTTGCGGTGATCTAGACAGCTTAAAGTTATTAAAGCTTAGACTGAGTTGAATAAATTGGCAATAATGAAAGAGTATACTATTGTCAGTCAGGGTTTACACAATTCAGTAGAGATCTAAAACTGCCAGTATTGGGAGCAGCAGCAGAAGTGTTTAAGGTAGAAGCTAGACTCATTACAGAAGGGAACCAAAGACCGTTTGGATTACAGCCATAGTTTAGGAGATGAGATCATCCAAGAGGATGATATGATCTAAGACGCTGTTCTTTCTCTGCAGAGATCACAGGGAAAGGGACAGAGAATAGAATTACAAAAGCAGGGAACTGATGTGAATAAAATTGTATTTGGAAGTTACTTTGGTAATAACCTGTAGAATACAATGGAAGCTACAAACATGGTGTGCTTGTTTCTAGAACGTTTTCTCTCTTGAAATATTGTACTGAATGGGGGCCGGCTCCGTGGCTTAGCGGTTAAGTGCGCGCGCTCTGATGCTGGCGGCCCGGGTTCGGATCCCGGGCGCGCCCGGAGGCACCACTTCTCCGTCCAACGCGAGGCCGAGTCCCACGTACAGCAACTAGAAGGATGTGAACCTATGACATACAACTATCTACTGGGGCTTTGGGGGGAAAAAAATGAATAAATAAAATCTTTAAAAAAAAAAAAAATTGTACTGAATGTTACCATTTTTTAGCAAATTCCTCAGTATTAAGATGCAGTTGGTAGAATTGATTTATTGGTATTATATTAAGATAAGGCAGCACAGGAAATGTTCTAGTTCTTAGTTTTGAACCTGAACACAAGAGGAATAGTCTTGCCGTCTCAGTGACTTTCAGAATGCTGTGGACAGTCTTTTTTTCTGAGCTTCTGTGTTCCTCACAAGATGTGGAAAATATTGCCTTAAAAGGATGTTAAAGTGTGCAGGAAAAAAGATGTGATGGAAAAAAAGAAAAGTACAGACGCATTGAAAAAGCCCCTAGGTTACACAGTAAAAAGAACAGGTAGTAAAAAGTAGAAGCAGTGAATTAGCTTATGGTTGGCCCACTTTGTACCCTAGGGCATAAGGGTGATTAAGAAGGACTTGTTGGTCAACAAAGTTTATAATGGAGAAAACATTTCCAAATGTGAGCCTTTTCCGTTGAGAGTATAATATACTTGAATTGTAAAGTTAAAATCTTAATTCCTCATAACATCTTGATATGAATACTATACAGGTTTATAAAAAGAAAATTGCTTTCTAAATCAACCTTTGGCTTAGTTAATACACCTCTACAGGTAGATACACAGCTGGTGTAGAGAATTTAAACCGGGAGGTAAAATGTCAGACCTTTGGCATACATTCTGGTTTGATGGTTTTTAACTCAAAGAGTAAGTGTCTTGAATAATACCTGTTAGTACAGTAGCTATTTTAAGTCACTGGCTACAAATGCTCTGATGTCACCTTTCCTTAAGAAACTAGTTCTTGTCTTCTGCATGGAAAAATGTTTGCAATAAATGGGCCACAGTAACCTCAACTTTTTCTCTAAAATTAAAAGCTTACACTTACAAGGTGCTTATTATTCTAAATTTTTTACATATATTATTAATCTTCACAGCCATCTTGTGAGGTAGGTGCTATTATTCTCATTTTAACAGATGAAGAAGGAAAGTGCCAGAGAGGTTAAGTAACTATAAATACAATCAGTGTAGATTACCAGTTACGTTTAAACAGTTTTTGGGGAATTTTTGGGAATCTCCTGTCCCCACTTGGAAGGGCTCCTCATTCTGGATACTTCCCTTTTATTGATAGCTGCTATAACCTTTAAGGACTGAAATTGCCTTAAAATTAAATCACCTCTACCTCCTTTTCATTTTCTTTTTATTCAGAAATACTCCTGAGACAGACTTCAGGGGAATTATTACAAGTATAAGTTTACAAGAGCAGCCAGGAATTCAGTAACCCACATCAGGGTATAGATTAATTAGTTGAAAGAAAACAGATATCTCTTTCCCTTCATTTCTCTGTTATTCCTTTGCCTACCCTTTATCATTTTGACCAGTGTGGATTGAGGTCAAGCGTTGGCATATCTAAGTAACTGTATTTTTATGTCGTTTGAGAAGGATACAGAGTGAAGTATCCTCTTATGGTAAGGGCATGCCATCCCTGACGTATTGCTTCAGATGATTTTTTCACAAGAACAAGAAAAATCTGAAATGATGGTGGTATTCCATGGCATAAGATTCCTTTGCTTACATATTTGAAAAAGTGACAATTCACAACAGAGCCGTTCACACAGAATATGGCTAACTAACCAGTGTTATTATGTATTATTAAGGACAAATAGACTGTTCATCTTTGGTAGGATCTGGTAAAGTTAGTAAACATGAGTATGGGAAGTGGTGAATGAAAGCAACACAAGTTGGAACTCGACCACATTAGAATTGATCCATTGACAACTTACTTCCTAAACTTGGGAAATAAATGTAAAAAATCCCTTAATTCAGGATTATAGACTCATTTTTTGGCATTGCTGAGTTAGTAAAATTGCAAAAAACAATTTGTCCTTTAAAAACTTGCTCAGCTTACTCTTCTTTAGCAAAGGTGACACAAATATTAATGTCACAATTCATTTTTAATTATACTGTTCTTTAAGAGTATCTTTTTCAGATAACTGATAATTTAAAGTAATACTGTAATTTTCATCTAAAGTGGATTTTTTTCCTTTACCACAAGTAGTACATTCAGATCTACCACAGTGCCCAAAGACTAGACAGTGGTTCTGATCATACCAAATTATAAATTTGGGAATCCCATTTTCCTTGCTTTTTGGATCTCGTGTTACGTGATACACTGTTATATAATAAAGATAACAAATTTTAAATGTTTATAATCTGACCCTGAAGAGACAGCCTACTTAAGTATTTGCTTAAGATGTTAAGATACACATAATATTCATTACAGTATTAATCGTTATATTGAAAATTTGCAAATAATCCAAATTTCCATTAGTAAAGGATGGATTAAATTACTTTGTCATTAGAATAGAATCTTATATAGGTTTTAAAAAGAATGAGATAATCTTATCAATAGTTATGTTTGTGTGTGTACATAAAAATATGTCCCAGATGTATTGCTTAAATAAAAAGAAACAAGTTAAACTTTATAGTTTGCATTTTAAAGAACTTAACATACCTGTGGAATTATGGGAAACTTTCACTTTCGAAGTTAAGTTACATATTTGTGTGATGTTTAAATTTTTTAGCAAATGTATATTTTCTTTGTAAGCAGAAAAAAGAATAAAGACAATTTTAACAAGTTGCACAAAAGCCCCTCAGAAACTTGTCAATAATCAAAACTTTTTTTCAAGTGGCTACCATTTATTATACCCTTATTATATACCAGGCACCTTTTTTTTTCTTGTCATGGTGCCTCCAGTTCTTCCTTCTCCTTTCTTTTAACATATAGAAAAATTATATGAGGAGGATTGTCATTGAGGGCACTTTTTCAGAATTCTGTGTTTCTATGTTAGTTATAAAGGGAATTACCTGTTATCCCTCTCTGTTGAATTTTTATGGGACATACAAACAAAACTAAAATAAGAATAAAACATATACAAAGGGGTACATAGGTTTTTTGTGGGTTTGAAAGTAGTGCATGGTTAGATGAGGTGAAGGTCAAATTAAAATGAAAAGGTTATTTAGGGAAAGCCTCAGTGAGGAGGGAAAGGTGTCTGAATTTGAATGGAAAGGAGCGAAATAAAGAGTAGAGCTTTTGTGGTGAAAGCAGAACGGAATGAAGAGGTTGAAGAGCACTGGAATGAGAGACGTGATGGGAGTAAGGTCTAGTTCTAGAGAAGCTGATAAAGAAGCTGATAAAAGGTGCTGAAGATTTTCATCTATGCTGTAGTGGGACTCAAAAATAATGCTGTGTCAGCGTAAAAAACAAGAAAACAACCTAGTGCCGGTGCTGCAGACTATACGGTAGTGTGCGGGAATAGTAAAGACATAGTTAAAATAGAAGAGGAACTGACCTGGGTCCAAGTCACCATCACCTTTGCCCTGGCATGTTGCAGTAGCCACCTGGCAGGCCTCCGTGCTTCCAGTATTGCTGCCCCTTCCTTTCCCCGAAGCTGTTTTCAGCCCAGCAGCCAGAGTGATTCTTTCAAAAAGTCAAGCCACATCAAAACCTCCATTGGCCCCCACTATCAATCAGAGTGGCCATAAGGGCCCTGAAGGAGCTCCCTCCTACTGCCTCTTTGACCTCATTTTCTTCTACTCTTCCTCCTTGATCATTCCAATCCAAACACAGTCCTTGCTGTTTCTCAAAATTGTCTGCCTCTCATCCTAAAACCTTTCAATTGACCGTCCCTATGCCTGGAACGCTCTTCTCCCAGATAATCCACACAGCTAACCTACTCTTGAATCTTTGCTCACGTATCACTTTCCCAAAGAGACATACCTCTGACCATCCTATTTAAAGTTTTCAATCTGCCTTTCTCCCTGCATATTCCTGTAACATTTCATCTTCTAATAGAGTATCTAACTTACTTATTCATTATGTTTATTGTTTATTATCTCTCTCTTCCCTTCTTAAAGGAAACCTGCAGGAGGGCCGGAATCCTTGTCTCTCTTGTACACTGAGGTATCCCATGTGCCTAAAAGAGCGCTGGTCACGTAATAGATGCTCAACAAAACTAGTCGCATGAAACGAATGGATTTAAAGTCTTGTAAAGAAGATGGCAATGATAATCTAAAAGACAGTTATATGCTAGTGCAGTGAGTTTTAACTTTCCTTTAAAGTTTTTGCCTGAAATGTCGTGGAATCTCAGAACCAACAGGTTGGAGTGGACATATCTATCACCAGTTTAGAAATCGGTTTCAGAATATAGTTTGGACACCATTGGTAATTTAGAGCTATTACTCTAAACGCTTGAATTTTATTCCTGCTGTGATGTTATTTGTTCTTAATAGTGAAAAGCCCACTTTCACGTACCTCTTACCTCATCTCTCCAAGTGGATATTTAACTTGCCACTTATCTTCTGGAATGGGAATTGTTCATTTGGTTAACAGAAGAATTTTGTAAAACTTTTTAGTTCCAATATGAACTATATTTCTTTTTGTATGATTTCCTTTTATGATAGATGATGATTGGCAGGAAGCACATGAGCGCCTGGCTGAATTGGAAGAGAAGCTGCCAGTGGCAGTTAATGAACAAACAGGCAATGGAGAAAGGGATGAGATGGACTTGTTGGGTGACCATGAGGAGAATCTGGCAGAAAGGCTCAGTAAGATGGTGATTGAAAACGAACTAGAAGACCCAGCTATCATGACGGCAGTGCAGACCAGGCCTGTTTTGCAAGTGAGTAAGTTACTCTGATTTGAGAACTATAGCAAACTAATAATTAAAGTGAGGTGTTGAGCTTGGCCATTTTATTTCATCTACTATCCTGAGAGAATTACATATGCCACAGAAAGTTGTTAATATAATTCCTGATGATAGCAATTCTATAGAGGAAGTTGGGAAATAATGTATATTCTGGAACACTGTAATTTCTTATTCTCAAGCAGTGGAGGCTCTTTTAGAGCCTTGTTTACCAAAAGCAGATAAGTCACCCAAAGAGCCCACACTATTCCAGACTTTGTGTGTGTGTTTTCCTTTTTTGTTAGCCCCAACCAGGAAGTCTCAATTCCAGCATCTGGGATGGATCTGAAGTTCTGAGGCGAATCCGAGGACCACTGCTTGCTCAGGTATTAAACTTTTTCTCTTTATAAAAAATTCCTATTATCTGAAAATTTCAGGTTGCTTCTGTTGTCATCCTTTCCTTACTGAAGCAATGTATAGATGTACATGCCATGTCATTTGCCAGTATTATGTTGATTACTCCATCCAGCACTCATAGCTGTACCTGTTAATTGTACACTTCCTCCGCCTCCGTAATAATCCTCACTTGACTGTGCTTTATTTTGAAAAGGTTGAAAGGGAGCCATTGGAACTCAAATTTGTCAGCTTACAATTTGAATTACTTAAAAAGTGATTTCTAGGGAAAACTATAGGGACAGAGAACAGATCAGTGTTTGTTTGCCTGTGGTTGGGGGTGGTGGGAGGGGTTGACTACAAAGGGACAATACAAAGGAAGTTTGGGAAATGATAAAACTGTTCTGTATCTTGATTGTGGTGGTAGATCCATGAGTTTATGCATTTATCAAAACTCAGAGAACTGTACACCAAAGAGGGTAAATTTTACTGGATGTGAAATAAAAGTATAAAAAATAATTTCTCAAGATAGTTTGGCATCTGTAGAGATTATTAAAACGTTTCAAGTTAGCTAATTTTCCTGTATTTTTTTTTTTTTCACTACTTCCTCAATTAGGAAATGCCTGCAGTGTCTGTATTAGAATATGCCTTGCCTCAGAGGGCCCCTCAGGGTCCAGAAGATGATCGGGACCTTTCTGAGCGTGCATTACCAAGGCGGTCAACGTCACCTGTCATTGGGAGTCCTCCTGTTAGAGCTGTCCCCATAGGCACCCCACCTAAGCAGATGGCTGTACCCAGCTTCAACCAGCAGGTACCTCTCATTAACAGGCACTCAGCCCAGGATATTGGGAATCTGGGCAAAATTACTTGGGAAATTGGTGATGCTGGGAGGAGGGTGGAAGTTTTGGGTAGGCATTAGACTAGAAAGAATAATAGCCAGTTAGAGGATAAGTTAGTACAAATAAGAGACACATTCCCTGATGCTCTTTGCTGATGCTGCTCCTGTTGCTGCTGCCTTTTAACTGGGGGAGAAAAAGGGTAGTTAACCACATTTAGTGTATATATCCTTTTTAAAATGTTTAGCTGGCTGCCCAGAACATTGGCAGAGAGGTAACTGAAAGCTGGGGGGAGTGGGAACGCTCAGCATTGTCCACATCCCTTTTTACCTTTAAGATATCCCTGCTTTCCCTAGAGCCTGTGCAGTCCTGTTCCATAGACTTTCCTCCACCTGAAACCAGCAGCTGAAAAGGAAGGCCAATTTGGAAGGTATGGGGGGAGGGTGGTGTTGGTATGGCCTAGTTAGGCTCAATATCCTATGAAATGGTGGAGTCACTATGTATCACAAAAGAGCTGAGCATGGCGGCCATATCACAGGGGCTTCAAAATAGGACTTAGTTAATCCTCCAGCTTTCTTATCATTCCTTCTCCCTCACTGCTACCAAAATATATCCTTTTGGAGAGAATTTGCAAGTCAGAATATCTGCTGGTACCTCCCTCAGACAGCACGGAAGGGTGGGGATAACTGGAGAATTAGCTAAATCTTCCTCAGTTAAAGAGGTGGCACATTGCTTGATATTTGAGAGAGGAAGGGACCAAAGGCTCCATATGTGAACCCATAGCCGTAGCAATTTGCTTAGAAGTAGGGCTTTGCATTGAGTTCTGTGTCTCTACCAGTACTTGAGGGGAGGGAGTAGGTAGAGGAAAAACTGACTTCATTGAGTGTAGTTGTATATATGTTTGTCCTGATAGATCCTGTGTCCGAAGCCTGTCCACGTTCGGCCCCCAATGCCACCGCGTTATCCTGCTCCCTATGGTGAGAGGATGTCTCCAAACCAGCTGTGCAGTGTGCCGGTATGTCACTTTACAACCTAATGAAAGTGTGCAGTTACGTATTTTCTGATCACTACCAGTATGTAGACATCTCCTAAATTATACATATTTTTTATAATCTCGGTACTTGAATTTCTGGATCTTATGGTCCCCAGATCAGAAAACATGGTTCATCGTGTTTAGTTGTTTCTCACCTCAAATGTTTTCTTATCTTTAAAAATCTCAACTTGGTGTGATAATCTGGTTTCCTGCTATTTCAGTCCCTCATTCTGCTGCTGTCTTTTTCATGTTACATGATCATAGAGCTCCATAATTTCTAACATTACTGTCTTTTTAGATTCCTTTAGTGGACAGTTTGACTATACGATTTGAAAGTTTTTACATCCAAATTTATTCTGCATTTCTAGTGAGTTCCCTTGTTATATTGATTTCCCTGTTTCATAGTATAATTTTTTCTTTTTCTTTTTTTTTTTTCCTTAGAACTCTTCCCTACTGGGTCACCCTTTCCCTCCTAGTGTTCCGCCTGTTCTCAGCCCCCTCCAGAGAGCACAGCTTCTTGGAGGAGCACAGGTAAGCCTGTGATTAGCCTGACCCATAGAGAGCTCTCTCACTTTCCTAAGGGTCACTAGATGGTCTCCCCTTTTTTTTGCTGTTAATCAGTCTCTACCCACCCTTATTTTTTCCTTTACTTTTTCAAACAAAGGTATTGATGGAAACAGTATTCACTTTTCTGTGGATAAAAGCAAGGGGACTTGCTGATTAACTAAATCTAAGGTCTTGTCCCTCTTTGTAGCTACAGCCTGGACGGATGTCTCCCAGCCAGTTTGCACGGGTCCCTGGATTTGTTGGTAGTCCGCTTGCTGCTGCCATGAATCCCAAGTTGCTGCAAGGGCGAGTTGGGCAGATGCTTCCCCCAGCACCAGGCTTCCGTGCCTTCTTTAGTAATCCACCCCCTGCTACCCCACCTCCTCCACAGCAGCACCCCCCTGGCCCAGGACCTCACCTGCAAAACCTAAGGTACACAAACAGATGCCACTGTTTACTCATTGTCGGCCCAGTCTCTGGATCATTGAGGTTTAGTATTATAATATAGAAGTCTCTTGAGCGTTGCAAGGGATATATTTTGAGATGTTATTGACTCCTCCAAACACAGAAGTGTTTGACAGTCTCCAGGCTTTCTTATGAATCACATTTCCCTCAAGTCACATGCTTCCTGTGTACATATGCACATTGCTAGTTAATCACCTCTTTTATTTCTTTTAAAGTTTCTTTTGTCTCACTTTCTATCCATTTTACAAACACATATATACTTACATATACACAAAGTGCCTATCACTCAACAAGAATTTCCATATGCCAAGGAACAGAGATACAGATGCTGAGTAGTCAGCTACTCTCAGTGCTGACTTCTGCCCTGGTCTTATGACAGGGAGGTTCAAGTTCCTGCTTCAGCAAAATTGTGTTTTATTACATATCATACCATATCAGTCAGGGTTCTGCAGAGAAACAGAACCAATATGATGTGTGTATGTATGTATGTATTTAGAGAGAGAATTAAAAGAAGAGATTTATTTTAAGGAATTGGCTTACATAATTGTGGGATCTGGCAAGTCTGAAATCCACAGGGCAGGCCTGCAGGCTAGAAACTCAGGCCGGACTTCTATGTTCCAGTCTTGAGGCAAAATTCCTTCTCTGGGAAACCTCAGTTTTTTTCTCTTTAGGCCTTCAACTGATTGGGTGAGGCCCGCCCACATTACTGAGGGTTGTCTCTTTTTTCTTAAAAGTCAACCAATTGTAAATGTTAATCACATCTACAAAATACCTTCACAGCAACATCTAGACTAATGTTTGACCAAACAACTGGGTACCATAGCCTAGCCACGTTGACATAAAATTAACCGTCATATATATTTATTTTCAATGTCTTTCTCAAATAGTTGAAACTAAGTACATTAAATCTATTTAGAGACTTAATGTTTAACAGTTAGGAGCAAAAAGAAAAAGGATTATATTGCTTTACTGCTAATTCACTCAGATTTTGTCATCTTGCTCCTAGGGTTTGAAAATGGGCCTTTGTGGGAGACATAAAATTATGGCTGTCTTTTCCTTCTGAAAGATCTCCTTAGAATAGACTTTAGCATTCCCTTGGGTGAACCTGTATAATGTTATCCTGTACTGACAACATTCTTTAAAACTTAAAATCATGAGAACGACAAAATTAAAAACCTTTTTCGTTTTTTCTTAGATCTCAGGCCCCAATGTTTAGACCAGACACAACTCACCTTCATCCCCAGCACCGTCGACTCTTGCATCAGAGACAGCAACAGAATAGGAAGTAAGTGCACATCCCACCCCTTTGTGGTTTCTTAATTCATCTTTTAATTTTGATAGTGTAACAAGGCTACAAATTTAGTTTACTTTTTTTTAGTAAATTTAATTAGTATTGAGCTTATTTTACTGATGAAGTCAGATCATATATGCTGTTTTTGATTTGTTATTGATATTATGATATCGTTGATGTTAAGTTTTTGATTTGTTGTTAGTGCTGTAGAGTGGATTCCGAATCCTAGTGCCCCTGTGCACAGCAGAGCAGAACCCAGCTCAGTCTTTTTGTGCCATCCTCTCACCTTCTGGTGCCATATCAGACAATGCTCCACTGCTATTCATAGGGTTTTTATGGCCAATTTTTTCAGAAGTGGGTGGCTAGGTCCTCCTTTCTATGTGTGTTTTACTTATTCTGGAAGCTCTGCTGAAACCTGTCCACCATGGGTGACCCTGCTGGTGTTTGAAATCCCGGTGGCATAGCTTTCAGCGTCACGGCAACATGCAGCCGCCACAGTGTGACAACCGACAGACAAGTGGTGGTGTTCCCTGACTGGAAATGAACCCAGGCAGCGGTGGTGAGAGTGCCAAACCTTAACCGCTGGCTATGTTTTTGATACACTATATCAGCTAATTTCCAAGTTATTAAAATGCTGTTGATCATGAATCAGACATACGGTTTAGATCTGATTTTTGGTTGTTTGTTTGTTTGTTTTAGTCAGCATTTTGTCCTCACTCCTTACCAAGTTCTTCCCTTGCTCCTCTCTACCTCTTGTTTACCATCTCAGCTCAGAGGGCATCTTGAAATATATTGGCTAGCCTTACATTTGGGTCCTGAGTAAAGCCAACAGTCACTCTTTATTTTTGCCTCTAATTATTTAATCCTTGTTCAACAAATATAAATATATATGTATATATGTGGCCCCAGCTGTGTACCAGACACTGTGGTAAGTTCTGGGGATTGAAAGAGGAATAAGACACATCAAACCCTGCCTTCATGGAGCTGATATTCTGTAATCATTCATATATATGTAAAAGAAGAAAACTAAACAGAACTTGGAGGTTCCTTCACCCTTCAATGTTATGGTTCTGTGTGTGTAATTCCTTCTCACTTTCAAAGAAGTTCTATAATATTTTTTGAAAGGGAGAAAAATATATGGGCTCTTAAGACACAAAAATTACAAACCATAAAAGAAAAGATTAATACATTTGATGTGTTAAAATATGAAACTACTAGTGCCCATGGTTAACAATACAGTATTGTGTACTTCAGAATTTGTTAAAAGGGTAGATCTCATATTAAGTATTCTTACCACCAAAAAAACAACAAAGGGACACAAGGAAACTCTGATAAGTGTTAAATACGTCTGTTAGCTTGTTTGTGGTGATGGTATTACAAGTGTTGGCATATGTCCAGACTTATCAAATTGTACATATTAAATATGTGCAGTTCTTTGTATATCAATTATACTTCAATAAAACTGTTAAAAAATTTTTTTATAAAATTTTTTAAATATACTAAAATTCTATACAGAGAAGAGATATCATACATAAGTACAAGCAATTCCCAGTAGAGAAACCTACACGGCCCATAAAAATGAAAAGATTTTGAGGCTCACTCGTAATCAGAAAAATGCAGATTAAAATTAGATAACCATTTTACATCATCAGACAGACAAAACTTGCAGTGTCTCAACACTGTCATTGTTGGCAGGAATGGAGTATACAGCCTCTTGAGAGAGAATTTGGCAGTAAATGATAAGGTTGAAAATGTGGTTACACCACATCCTAGCAATTCTACTTTTGGTATATACCTGGGTGTATTATCAACGTGGATAAATATGAAAAGTGTAATGTTGAGTAAGAAGCAAAAAGAATTATATGTCTAGTGCCATTTGTGTAAAACTTAAAGGCACACAGAATAATACTATATAATACTTAAAGATGGACACACAAGTAATATAAGTATAAAAACATTTCAGGGAGAATACCTACCAAAGTCAGGATAGTAGTTCCTCTAGGAAGAAAAGGAAGCTGGAAACTGGGATCCAGAGAAGTACAAGAGGGCCTGCAACTATAAATGTAATAGTGTATTACTTTAATGTTACTTTTTAAACATCTGAGGCAAATTTAGCCAAATAAATTTTTTTCATTAAGTCTGGGTTGTGGGCAAATGGATGTTTATTATAGTGTTTGCTGAGCTTTTCTCTATATTTGAAGTATTTTGTGATTTTCAACAAGTTAAAAAAAGGTATATAGACTAGGAGTCAAATTGGCCTGTGTTCAACTCTCTTGCTCTCTACCAGGTGGACAGCTTTGGACAAATTACTTGATCTCTTTTAGCCTTGGTTTGTTGTCTTAAGTGGATAAAAGAAAACTACCTACCACGTAGGGTTACTGTAGGACTTATACAAAAGTCCTAGGTGAAAGTGCTTAGTATATGGTAAGGCACTCAGATCTCAGTTTTATTTCTTTAATTATGTATTGCATAGCTCTTTTCTCTCAAATTCTGTTAAGATTCAATTCTTTTTCACTCCTCTTTTAACAAAAGCAAAGAGGAATCTTTTATGTTTTAATTGGCCTGGTTCATTCCCGTATTGTATAAGCCATAATTAATGCACCCACATTAATTGAATGTGGCACATGTTTGTTTTTCAGTCAGCATCGGAATCTCAATGGTGCAGGAGATAGAGGAAGTCACCGGAGCAGTCATCAAGACCATCTCCGAAAGGATCCCTATGCCAATCTCATGTTGCAGCGAGAGAAGGATTGGGTCTCTAAAATCCAGATGATGCAGCTGCAAAGCACTGATCCCTACCTGGATGATTTTTATTACCAGGTAAATATTCTAGTTTTGAGGATGACAGATTAGTCCCTTACTCTGGTGAAGGCACTTATTTAAATATTGGTAGAATTAAATATTGATAGAATTTTCTTTTGAGGTAGTCTTCAAGTGGATAAGAATTGACTAAGCAAATTCTGTCCTCTTTTCAAGCTGGAGAACCTCTCACACTGTTCACTAAAAGGTTTGCATATATGCCTTTTATTTCTTAGACACAGAGGCTCTCAGACCAATGTTTTCAAATCCCTTTGGAATCAATAATCTGGTTCTTTCAATTAAGAATATTGGCAGTCTAACTTTAAAGATATTTCCATTGGTGATTAGCTTTTTTGAAAGCTTGGATTATTGGTAAAGTAAATTTATAGCAATCTAACAAATTTGTCGAGTTCAAGTTATGTTACTGCCACTGGTACAAATTATTTAAAGATAAACAGCAGCCATATTCTGTGCTTGTATTGCAACTGAAATCATCTTCTCGTGTGGTAGAATTACTTTGAAAAACTGGAGAAACTGTCAGCTGCTGAAGAAGTGCAAGGTGATGGCCCTAAAAAGGAGCGCACCAAGCTCATTACTCCTCAGGTGGCCAAACTGGAGCACGCCTATAAGCCAGGTAAGGTCCTTATCCCCAGGCCTGTAGGAAGAGGAACTTGACATGCTGCCGATAGGATAAGATTAAGGTTATAGGTGATTGGTTAGAGATGTTTGAAACTGATTTGTAAAGTATCATTGTCCTTAATAAATGCAGAGAGCAGGCTTTATTCAGGCATGGAATGAATGGTTTGACAGATGACCTTTTAGATCCTTGTCTACCTGAGATTCCATAACTTTTTAAAACCTATTATAATTTCTAGTATCCCTAAAATAGATAGGAGGGAAATACTTCAGATTTTTTTATTTGATTATTATTGCAACAAAAAAATGGGAAAGGATAGATTTTGATAAGAGATTACTTTAGATGATAAATAGATTTTTGTAGTAAATTGTTAGACTATGAGTAAAAAATAGAAAATATAAAGATCTTCTTTAAAAGCTGGCTGCCTGCATTGCTGAGTTTTTATTTGTTGGAAATTTTTTGTCCTTGCAGTGCAGTTTGAGGGCTCTTTGGGAAAGCTTACTGTCTCTAGTGTGAATAATCCCCGAAAAATGATTGATGCTGTTGTGACATCTCGGAGTGAGGATGATGTAAGTGTCAGCAGAATTGTGTGTTTAAGAAAGTCTGGGTCATCTCTACTACTTTTGGGGTCACTGTAGAATGGAATCAGGCATGATGGAGTTGTTGGTAGTTAAGTGGAGCATCCCACCTGCCATAGAATGTCATGGAATTCTGGTTTTCTGCAGACATGCTGAGTTATTAACACCTTCACCTCTAAGGCAGCCGGGCAGGACCTGGGTAACTCTGGCTGCAGACAGCATCAGCTGTTTACTCCAGTTTTTAAAATTACCATTTTTGTTGTATTTTAAGATTTTTCTTTGATAACTTCATCTGCATTCTACAATTACCTTTTGCCCATCTATGAATTCAGTTTAGTTGTTTGTGTGTGGGTTGATTCCATCGACTCTATGACCCTTGTCCACATTAGTGTTGTTTTAGATTATTAACTTTCAAAGAGTCAGGATTCCCAAAGTGTTGTCACAAATGGAACTACATATGCACACTTACTAAATTATTTTTAACAAAAGTAAAGAGTTCACACTGAATAGTCTTGTCTTTTTTTTTTTTTAGGAGACAAAAGAAAAACAAGTTCGGGACAAGAGACGAAAAACCCTTGTCATAATTGAGAAAGTAAGTTTTAGAATTTGTTGCTCTAGTTAGTTGCAAATAAGAAACTGTCAAATATATGTGTACCCAAGAAGTGGAAAAGTAAGCAATCAGTCAGTGTTCTGTGATTTTAATTAATGAATATATCCTTGTTAAGTGCCTATTGTGTACCAGAGCACGCTAGGAAGAAATGTGGTATACCTTACCTATGACCTCATGGAAAGAACACTGCAGTTACAGTTAGAAGTTTCGGGTTTTTGTCAAAGCTTATTCAGTTAACAGCCGAGTGTTTTGGGGCAGGTCACCTTTCCAAGAAAATAAGAATAAAAATTACATTATTCTGCTTATGCATTAATTAAGTTGGTTCACCCATATTTATTGGGCACTCCCTGGGTCTAGACACTCTGCTGAGTGCTAAGAAACATGAGATAATATATAGGCAGTTAATTTGTAAAGCATAAATACCATGTTGCAAGGCCCTAGAGCATAGTGGTTAAGAGCACAGACTCTGGAACCAGGCTGCAGATCATGCTTTTTCCATTTCTAATGGAGTCTATGACTTAAGGCAAGTTATTTAACCTTTCTGTGCTGTCCTCAGTTTCTTCATCTGTAAAAATGGAGATGATAATGGTGTCTTTCTCACTGGGCTGTGGCGAGCATTCGGTGAATGAGCACATGCAAAGTGCTTAGAACGGTGCCTGGCACCCTGTGGTAAAATTGACTAATACCGTTTTTATAAATATAAGGCATCACTTGGAGCAGTGATACATTATATTACAGTGCCGTTGTTGCTGCTGCAAAATTTAGTTTTTTTTTTTTAATTTTATTTATTTTTTTCCCCCCCAAAGCCCCAGTAGATAATTGCATGTCATAGTTGCACATCCCTCCAGTTGCTGTACGTGGGACTTGGCCCCAGCATGGCCGGAGAAGCGGCGCGTCGGTGTGCGCCCGGGATCCGAACCCAGGCCGCCAGCAGCGGAGCGCACGCACCCAACCACTAAGCCATGGGGCCGGCCCCAACTGCTGCAAAATTTAGAAAGTGTATAATCGTTTCACCATCATTGCCTTCTGGATTAGAGGTCAAGGAGGGACAGAGAATAGTGTGGGAGGAATTTTTTAAGTGATTTCAGTATGTTTTTCTGGATTGAAAAGAGCACGTTTTTTCCCCCTCATTCCTATTACAGTAGTTTTCACTCTTTTTACTTTATCTGGTAGTGCTGAATTGTGAAGTTGTTTGTCTAATGCTCTGATCCTGACCTAGCATGCTGGGGCCTGCTTTGTGTCTCCCTTAGACCTATAGTTTACTCCTGGATGTGGAGGATTATGAAAGGCGGTATCTCCTAAGTCTAGAAGAAGACCGACCTGCTCTGATGGAAGAAAGAAAGCACAAAATTTGCAGCATGTATGACAACTTAAGGGGGAAATTGCCTGGACAAGAGAGGTAAGAAATATGCATTTTGAGGAAAACATGAGACTAGCCGGCCTCCCTCTGCTAAAGTGAGCTTTACAAGTTTCTGCCTTTTGGATACCCTTCCTTACCATCTCAGCAAGCTCAAAGTCTGTCTTTTTGGCCCAAGCCAAGTGTCACTTCTATGTAAAACATTTCATAATCCTTCCCAGCCAAGAAAAAAAAAACTTGATTGTGAATTCATTTATTCAACAAATACTTGTTCAGTCTCTACTAGGCACTGGGCTAGGTGCTGGAGATACAGTGGAACATTATTTGGTGTCTGTTTTTGAGCTTATACAGTGTACCTGGTTTATGCTTACTAGCATGTTCAACATTGTAATCTTTATGTATTTTCTTTCCTACCAAGATGGAAAGTATAAACATTTATACTTCCTTGGAATGTCCATAGAATACTCACACACTATGGAAACTGGTCAGTCTTGCAGTGGAGACTAAGTTCCTTAATATATCTTTTTCTCTGTATCTTTCTCTCTCTTTCTTTCCCACCCAGTATCTGGAACAGAATCTTGCTAATGATAAATGTTATATAAATCTCAAATACTTATTTGATGAATGCAAGAGGGCTGTATCTCCTGATAACTCCCTTTCCCCATTCAAGGGAATTGATTCTTGTAAGTCAGGACATACACAAAACAGAACATAAGAATAAGCACCTTCAACACGCCTTTTCTGGAGTTGGGCTGACAGGCAACTGGTTGTATAAATGTTGGTTTATCCATAGATTGGAATGTTATGCAGCCAATAAAATGTATGTAATTGAAGTATACTGACATGGAAAAGTGTTCACAAGAAGTTATGAAGTGAAAAAAGTGAAGTAACAAAGCCATATAAATTCCATGGGCCTATTTTTTTTTTATGAAAGAGAAAATACACAATATACAGCAAAAAGGTTCTTCAAAATGTTAACACTAATAAAATTGAGATTATGAATGTTTTTGTTTCCATTTTCCTTATATGTATTTTCAGATTTTGCTATATTAACCGTGTTATTTGTGTAGTTACTTAAAAGTTAATAAAGGAACTTAATGCATGAAGTTTGACCAAGTTTTTTTAACATAAAATTTGTGAAATGAAGATTTTCTACATTTATGAAGCTTGAAAAATTACTTTTTATTATTTGGTTGAGAGTTGGAGGAGTAATTCTCACTGTTTTGTAGTACAGATAATTGTAGAGTGAAAATGAATGCAGTATATTCATTCAGTAACATGTAAGAGGAAAAAAAGGATTGTTTACATTGTTCTTGCTGACCTAAGTTAGCATTTTTCTTCCCCTGCAGGCCAAGTGATGACCACTTTGTACAGATCATGTGTATTCGAAAAGGGAAGAGAATGGTTGCCCGTATTCTTCCTTTCCTCTCCACAGAGCAAGCAGCTGACATTCTCATGACAACGGCCAGGAACCTCCCTTTCCTTATCAAGAAGGATGCACAAGATGAGGTGATCCACCATGTGGGACAGCTTTCCTTTGAGTCTTCGTGGTTGATAAGATTTCTAGAATCTGAATTTCTTTTTCTCCCCTCTTCCCTTCTGTGTTGTTTTGTCTAACCTTTGACAGTATGACTTGATTATTTAAAGCATAGCTCTAGCTACTTCAGGCCTTTATTTTTAATCCCATTTTTGGTCCAACATACCATATTCCTAAACATGAGGAAAGCAATAATTTCATCTTATTTGACATAATTATGAAGCTGTGGTCTGTATCAGAATTACTTGGGAAGCAGATAATTCAGCCCTACCCCAAACATGCTGAATCAGAATTTACAGAGGAAAGATCAGGGATCTATAACAAGGTCCCCAGCTGAATCTGATGCTCAGTCAAGTTTGCAAACTTATGGTCTTAGCTACTTTGTTGGATATAAAGTATCACTAATTGGGCTGTTACCAGTAGCTTAACATTTCCCTGTAGGCTTAGTTGAATGGTTTCCCACAGGAACTGGGCCAGTGCTTTTAAATAACTTTGATCATGATCTAAACTAGGCTAGAATTTGAAACATGATTATCAAGTTTACAAGTTAACTCTTGGTAAGGATTGCTCTCTGCTTATCCCTGTCAAAAAAACTCTTGAAAGATTAGCAAAATTTAGAATAGTCTTAGAAGTTGAAAGCAGAAATTGATAAGGGTAGAACAGATGACTAGTATTTTTAAGTGTAAGATTCAGATAATAGAATTTATGAGAATGAACCTGTTACAGTAGACTACAAGTTGAGTAATAACAGTTCCCAGAAAACAAATGATGCTGAGATATAAGTGGTATGACATGAAAGAGTTGAAAATTATTCCTTCTGAAATAATAGTGAGTTGAAAAAATTCCTTCTTGAAATTTTAGCATCTGCAGAAGAAATGAATGTGAAGTTTAGGTCTCATCATCAGAAAAAGTGAAGTGGGATGAGACAAGTACACTTTTTAAGGATTTCAAGAATGAAAAATGGATTGAAGGAAAGCTTAAAGATTTGAAGTTTATCCTAGAAAGTAGAAGACAAGACTAAAAGTAACAGCTATTCTGCAGCATATAAATTGTTGTAGGCAGTGAGCAGGCACTCACTCATCATAATCTCAGGAACTCATCAACAGAAACACATTTGGAAGAGCTTATTCATTCAGCAGATATTTATTGGACTCTTTTATGTACCAGGCACTGTTTTAGGTCCTAGAAATGTAGCACCTAGTTATAGGTGCTAGGAGCTAGAAATTCAGAGATGCCTGCCTTCGTGGAACTTACCTGCCAGCAAGGAAAACTTGGTTAAAAATGGAGGCTAAGTTTTTACCCATATGCATTAAAGAGTAATAGACCACATCTCTAAATACCATTTCCCTGAAGTAATAGCTGATTCCAAGTCTGAGGCATAAAATGTACATGATAATCCTGGAATATCTTGTGCCAGAAAGCAAGGAAGCTAAAAGATTACTAGGGTCCTGTGTACAAGATATACAAACCAACTTGAAAGGGCTCCTATTGGTCAAAAATGGGATAATTTGTATCAGAAAAATTACCACTGGATTGAAATATATCAAATATATTTAATTTACTGAGTTAATAATGATACCAAAAAATAGATTAATCATCTTCAGAGATTGCTAGGCTATCAACTCATTATTCTGAAAATTAGTAAATAAAGAATCAAGCATTTATCCTGCATTTCCATTACAACCAAATATCATAGTAACCAGAGAGTTGATAATAGAAAATTCTTTATAGAAGAATTTTAGCTAATAAATGCAAAACAAATGTTAAAATTAGAAAAATCACCATTTTACAACCCCTAATGGAAAAACAGTCAGTCACTCAGTCTGGAGAGCAATCATTACTGGTGCTAAAAGCATTAGGTAGAAGGTGGATGAAGGAACTTAGCAATGGTTGGAGCGGGCTGACAACACCTGAACCCACTGATCACTGCTCACGGCACTAAGAGGCGAACAACAACCAGACACTATGTGCTTCTTGATGTGATGCAGTCGGAAGCACACAGCCCTATCCATGAAGTTTTCTTGCCTTCCCCCGCATCCCACTCCATTAAACTTGAATCTAATCAAACCTGAAGTTCTAACTATCCTATCCGTGTTTATCGAAAAAACAGAGGATAGTGCAGTCTCTTAAGTCACACCACAGAGGTACTGTTAGCCAGATCCAAACAATGGGACAAATGACCCAGTTTCTTCAACAAATAAATGGCATGAGGAAAGGAGATGGGCAGTGACAAAGGACCTGTTAACGTATTAAGCCTTTCCAGCCAAATGCCTTGTGTGGATCTGTTTGAATCGTGATTAGAATAAATCAGCTGCTAAAAGACATTTGTGAGACAATTGGAGAAATTTGAATTTGAAGTAGATATTAGATAATACTAAGGAATTATTGTTAATTTTGCTAGGTGCAGTAATATTGTGAGAGATTTTGTTAGAGATACAAACTGAAATATTTATGGATGAAATGATATGAGGAACATACATTTAATAAGACTTGCAAAATATTGGTGATTTAATTGTTGAAATAGGGTGATGGGTACATAGACTTCATTACAGTGTTTGTACTTTGGTATATGTTTAAAAATGCTTTGATTTTTAGAGCTTTGTTTATTTAGAGTAGTAGGTCACAAAAGTAGTTTACTCTCCATCCTTGGATGCCATTTAAAGTAAAACCAACCATCACTTTTCATTCCGTGGGCACTGAGTGCTGGGATGCTCTCTTGATTTCCTCTCCTGTGGTATAACCTAGTTACATTGGTAGCTCTGTACTTGAGCTTTCCAGTCTGGGCCTTATGGCAAAAAGGAAGGAATTGACTAGCAGGCTAGAATTCAGCAGCCTTGAGTTCTGGTTCTAGCTACTGGCTTTGTAACTCTGAACTCTGAACTGAGCTTCTCTAATAATCTATAAAAATTGGGTAATCATTTCTCCATTTCCTCATTGAGCTCTTATAAAGATAAAACAAGATACAATTAAGTCTGAAAATACTTCTCAGTAATCCTGAAGCACTCAGAATTTATCTTAGAGTGCTTCTCACTATATATTGAAATTGCCAGTTTACTTGTATCTTCCCCAGTATACTTTGGATCCCTGGGGGTCTGTGTCCTGTTTATATTTGTTTTTAGCCCACTGTGCCTGGCACATTGTAGGCATTTAAATATTTGTGGAATGAATTAAAATACTGATGTTTTAGCATGAATCTTGCTGTGTATTTGAGAAGTGCCTTTACACCTGTGGTTCACACAAGTCATGATGTTTCCTGTGCAAATTAAGTTGGAAAAGTTCTCAGTGGATACCTTAGAATCTGTCGTTAAGACTCTAGCAGTGTCTGCTAGACTTGTCAGCCCTTGTTTGTTAAATCTTGCCTCACACAGTCGAGTATACAGCTGAGCATCCCTCCGTCCATACCTGATGGGGGATGACTGAAGTAACAATTGCCAGCAAAAATAATGCTTTTATTTATTTTTTGTAGGTGCTGCCATGCTTACTGAGTCCCTTCTCTCTCCTCCTCTATCATCTTCCATCAGTGACTGTCACCAGCCTTCTGCAACAGCTAATGAACCTACCTCAGAGTGCAGCTGCACCAGCAGCCTCCAATCCTCACCTCACTGCTGTGCTCCAGAACAAGGTGGGCTTGTCCCTGAACTTTGCAAGGCTTCTGAATTTGCATTATGGGTAAAAATAATGGCTGCTGTGGCTGTGGCAACTTATAGAAAAGGCTTCTTTCAGTCAGGAGTTACATTAAGCTCCTAGTAACAGGAGCTAGAAATAACCATGGTTTTAATAAAATAGAATTTATGTACCTCATGTGGAATAAATCTGGTATAGTGATTCCACAGTGTCGTCAGGGATGCAGGCTCCTTCACTTTGCCTTCTCTGCCATCCTTATCAGTGGCTCCTGTGCTCATGACCTGTCAGGGTCGATAATGGTTGTGGAATTCAAGGCTCTACTTTGCATCAGAGGTGCTCGAGGAGGGCCAAAATGTGTGGATCAGCTGGCTGTCTTCTTTACTTGGACCTTTTTCAGGAGTTCTAACCAACAACTTCTACTTAATCTCAATGGCCGGGTCTAAGTCACGCCTAACTTCAGGGAAGGCTGGAAAACATTTTTTAGTTCACACCATTGTCACCACAAATAAAATCAGAGTTCTAATTTGAAAAGGAAGGCATATTAGATAGGTAATTAGTGGTCTCTGTCATAAGACTATAAATAGTAGAACATCCCATTTCATATTTCATTTACATCAAGTTAAAGATCCAGAGACTCAGGCAAAGCGTGATATAGAAGAAAGAACATGAGCTTCTAGACTGAGCAGGTTTCCACTCCTTGCCTGCGGCTTTCTAGGTTTGTGACCCTGAAAAGATTATTTCACTTTGCTAAGCCAGTTTCCTGATCTGTAAAGTGGAGGTGATGGTGTGGACTTTAGAGTGGTCCTGTTACTTCGATGAGAGAACAGCTAGGAATGGTTCAATATAATGCCTGGTACATAGTGGGCACTCATTAAGGGCCACCTGATACAATAGAGTGAAAAAGGAGTCTCAAGGAATCCCGAATTATGCCTAGCTTCCCCTTTTGATCCTTTACAGCTATGATTGATACATTTAACGTAGTTCTCTTTGTCCTTATTTGAATTTGCATTCTGTGCCCCTTTAGACTACAAGTTTTCTGCTTTTACTACCCACTGCGTAAAACAGATCTAATAAAACAAATCTTTACATGTTTCAGTTTCTAAAGCATGTTGCTGAATTTTGATAATCTTAGATATGGTAAATATATCTGTTTATCCTTTCTTTTTATTTTATAGACTCTTATTAACATTCTCTCTCAGCTTTTCTATTTCCAGATAGTTGTATCCTTTGTTAAGTAAATTTTCTCTTCATACCCTGATCATTCCAGTTACCTGTCTTTGTACATTTTCCCACAGGTCTTAACACCTTTTTTCTTAATTCAAAATATCTTACTCTGTTTAATGTTTTTTATTTTTTCCATGAACTTTAACTTTCTGAATCAAAATTTAGTCACACTTAACTTTGCTTTTTAATCCATTTCTGTTCTAGTAAATAGGAGAAAAGCTAAATCCCACATCATCCAAGGCAGGAAAAAATGACCTTTTCATCTCAGGGTGGAGTGGGGAAGCAGAGAGGACTGTTGGACACTGGGACTTTCCTTTTCCATTGATTATACTTGTGGCTGCTGTGCCAGGAGAAAGACACAGCCTCCCAGCTCATAGTCGTTTGATCTTTGCCCAGTTTCACAGAAAAGCACAGCAGTGGGGGCGTTTTGATTTGGTGCCGTTCACCATCTAACGCTGGGATCCTCTCAGCGGTGGTGGAGGAGCATTAGATGCAGTGTTGAGTTTGATTCCCTCTTGTCTCCTCTTGTAGTTTGGCCTGTCACTGCTCCTCGTCGTCCTGAGCCGTGGGGAAGACCTACAGAGTTCAGACCCTGCTGCAGAGTCAACGCAAAATAACCAGTGGTCAGTCTGGACTGTGTTTCTTCTTTTATTTTAAGTTCTTTTAGGTAGTCTTGTCATTCTTTTCTTATATTGTTATTATTGGTTCTTTCTGTCAGGACGGAGGTGATGTTCATGGCAACCCGAGAACTTCTGCGGATTCCCCAGGCAGCCCTGGCCAAGCCAATTTCTATACCCACAAACCTAGTCTCCCTCTTTTCTCGCTATGTTGACCGACAGAAACTGAACTTGCTGGAGACAAAACTGCAGTAAGTTTGAAACAGGAGAGTTCCGCATCTCGCTGAAGTTGGCACTTTAGAAGTTACGAGGAGGAGATCGGGGGGCTTAAAACTGAAGTTGGTGGAAGATATTAAAGACTTCTATCAAATATATGAGTATCTACTAGATATAAAACACTGTACTGGGTGCAGTGGCACCCTCATAGTTGACTAAATGCTAAGGGTAGAGATATCTTAGATGTTTTGTTATGAAAATTCTTACAAGAATGTAACTTGAATGCAAAAAATTGCCCTCTGTTTTAACTCATTTATACAAACGAGTTTCCTTTCTCTCTCTCTTTATACCCATAGGCTAGTTCAGGGGATACGATAAAAGATCTCCAAATGTGTCCAGTACCTCCTTTTGGCTGCCATCTGCACTGCCGCCATCACCAGTGGAGTGTTTTTAATGAGGGAGGGAAGGTAGCTTTTTCCCCACTGCTCTGTGAAATTTGGCTGGGTGATACTTTTGCTGGTTTCTTCTTACCTTCTGTGTTACAATTCTGCATGTCCTACTTTTACTCACTTCTCAATTTTGCATTTTCTTTGCCCTAGAGACACAAATATAATCTCTCCTTTTATCCCACCACCACTGTTCCAGTTCAGAGTAGATTGTAGCCTGCCCAAGGATTCTTTCCCTCATCCTACTGAAGTCTTTTTTCATTGCCCCATGTTAATATGACTATAGGAGAGCCAGTTAAGTAGAAACGAAGATATATATATGCGTGCACATACACCCCTCTACATATGTTTATGTGGTCACCAGAGGATCCTTAAAGAACAAGTTTTAGATTGAGAGATATTTAGTTGACACATTCCTTCTCTAAACACAAACCAGCTGATGTGTTTTTAATCTATTTCTAGTCCATCTTGTAATTAATTTGGCGGGTTCTACCTGTTTTAATATAAATATAGGGTATGCAGCACATTTAATAAAATCAGAACTCTTAATTGGCTGATGGCCAGCTCTAGGCTGAGAAGTCCTTTTTTCCCTCCCCGCTCATATTTCCTGTGTTTCTGTCCTCAATGGAAACAGCACACGGTTAAGCCTTTCTCCTGCTACAGCCACAGTGTACTTGAGCCTGTTCCCTCAAGGGCATGGAAGATTGTTCAAGATGATCCTAACTTAGAGCCTGCTTCCACAGTGTAGCTTTTGCACACTCACTCTGTCTTCCTGAGACTACTTCAGTAAGCCGTGCTTTTCCTTCTCTCCCGTTTTTATCTGGTGTCCTGGGTGGAAACCTCCATATGTAACCATGGAAGCTAAGTTTGGCTTGCTTGGCTCTTCAGTCTGCTCCACACCGTGAGCAGGACTGCTCCCCTTGCTACTTGGTCTGACCCAAGTCCCATTCCCAGGCAGCCTGGGGCTTGGGTTTGAATCCCAGCAGGGACAGCCTGCCATAATACTTTTCACTTGTCCTTCTCCCATTCAGAAATCAACCAAGATAAGGGATTTTGATCCTTGGTGATTATAGCCCTTAGGAAAATTAAATCTGGATTAATTTTACCTGACTGTCCTGATACACTCTTTGCTGTTCTCACCTTTTCGAATGTAGTGGGGGGACAGGTTATGATATTTAAACAGAATAAACATTTTGCACATACATGTATTGTACAACAGTAAAATCCTCTGTTATAACCAGCTGTTCATGTTCTCCATCTCCATTTCGTCCTGTTCTGTAGCTCCAGGCTCCATCCGCTGTTCCCCAGTGACATTACCTAGCTTCCCTCTGCCATTATCTACTGACTAATTCCACCATGCGCCTTTCCTACCTTCCCTTCACAACTGATCAAGTGAATACTTGATTATTATTTCTTCCTTTCTGTGCTTTATCTTTTTTGTTTAGTTCTAATTAATAAAAATTAAAGTTTCTAAATTTACATTTTTATAGGGTATTGTAAATAAAAACAAATTGTATACTTGAAAAAAATGCCTATATTTCTACTTTCTTATTACGTCTGAACATGATTTTTAGTGTGTTTCTAGCATATTTAGATAGCCTGGCAAACCTCTTGGTGTTGGGGATTGGTAAGAATATTATTACCTGATGTTTTTATTTTTTTTATTTTGTTGTAAGGGAGACAGATAAAGATCATAGGTTACATGGTAACCTTCCTTTAAAAACCTAAGATGCTTTCAGTTACCCTCCTCCCATTTTAACTACAAAACAGAATTATAAATTTCAGTAGAAACACTGCAATTTATCTTCTTCATCGCAGCTATCCCTAGGCATATGCAGCTTTTTTAAGAGACTTCGTATAGTCCAGTTTGGCCTTAAGCTGCCTTCATGGTTAGTATTTCCTTAGCTCTAATTTATATCTCACAGTTTCTCTCTTCAAAGGAGATGGGGTAAAGTTGGTCATTCGTTATAGTAAATTCATGTTGATTATTTCAGGCTTGAGTATCATTTTTACTCAAATTCTCAAAAGATTCCGCTTTCTCTCGCTTTCTCCACCATTGTGGTGTGTGCGGTTGACTCTCTTCCTCACCATGTGTTCTCACAAGACTTTCAGGATCAGACAATTCCTGGCCAAGAAACAAAAGCAGAATGTTTCATTCCCCAGTGGATTCAGATGAAAACTGGTAATAAAATCAGGTACCATTCCAAGACGAGACATTGGAGAAGAGCCAAGCTGGGTCTATAAGGAATCGCACATGAGAAGGCACACATATTTATACGGTTTCAGGGTCACTAGTGTCTTACCAAATCAAGCTGCAAACATCACTATCTGGACAGTTGATCATGTTTTATTGGGAAAATGATTTTTCTCTTTGTTTCTAGGCTTCCACACTAGTAGATTGGTTCAGTAATAAATATGTGAGAACTTCTGGGGAAAAAATTCAGCAAATAAGTAGAAGAAGGCAGAAAAAAGAAAAGTTAAAAATGGTAGAGGGTGGGCCGGCCCCATGGCGTAGTGGTTAAGTGCGTGCGCTCCACTGCTGGCGGCCCGGGTTCGGATCCCGGGCCCGCGCTGACCACTGCTTGTCAGGCCATGCTGTGGTGGTGTCCCACATAAAGTGGAGGAAGGTAGGCACAGATGGTAGCTCAGGGCCAGTCTTCCTCAGCAAAAACAGGAGGATTGGCATGGATGTTAGCTCAGGGCTGATCTTCCTCACAAAAAAAATAAATAAATAAAAAACTAAAAAAAAATGATAGAGGGAGATAATACAACATTACTGGCTGCCTACTTACATAAAGCTTATTTTTTCCTGGTGGGTGGACAGGCTCCTAGAGGTTAAAGAGCTTGCCCGAGGTAACAAGTGATGCTAGTGAGCAGCAGAGCAGGGGACTCATACAGCATATTCTTACTGCTATGAGGGAATAAAACCATCTTCTGCTAAAAGATTTATTCTCACCTCCTACATGAAAAAACATAAGGTCTCGTTAGATAGGTCTGCCTTGTTAGACTAGAACTGGCCCAGGTGTGCCCTTGCAGTCCCAGAAGACTAGATTCAGAACGTCAGAAGTGGTCCAGCACTCACATCTAAGTTGTGAGGGACTGAAGCTGTGAGAGGGCAGTGATTTGCCTAAGTCCCACAGCTGGTTAGTGGTAAGGCCAAGAACGGAACTCAGGTTTGTATGCTCTCTGCTTCTCTTTCGGTTGTAGTTCTCCACCACATTTTGTGAAATACTAGCCCTAGTCCAGACAATGTAAGTATTATGTTTTTATGAGAAAAGGACTGAGTTTAAGAAGTAAATGCTTCTACTTTGTGAATATAACAATAGCTTGCAATAACTACCAACTGCATTTTGAGTCTTGTAGTATATACCAGATACTGTTTGTTCTAGGTGCTTAAAAAGTCACTTTTAAGACTCAGGGTAAATGAGATCGATATTAACGTACCTTGCTGCTAATGTATGTCAAAAACAATCAAATTAGGTGATGCACTAAATTTGCAACAATATGGCACGGAGTTAAAAACTGACGTTAACGTATGTAATCTTATATAAGAAAAAGAAGACCTCGATAAATAAGTAACAGACTTATGAATAATTTCACAAAAGAAAGTGCAAGCGAATAATAAGTACACCCTCACTGGTAATCAAATAAAAATATTTTTTTACCTATCAAATTAATAATTTTATTTATTTTTTCCCCCAAAGCCTCAGTAGATAGTTGTATGTCATAGCTGCACATTCTTCTAGTTGCTGTATGTGGGACGCGGCCTCAGCATGGCCAGAGAAGCGGTGTGTCGGTGGGCACCCGGGATCCAAACCCGGGCCGCCAGCAGTGGAGCTCACGCACTTACCCACTAAGCCACGGGGCCGGCCCCTTACCTATCAAATTAACAAAAACTTTAATGCCGGTGAGAATTTGGGGCTGCCACTCACACTGGTGAGGTAAATTTCTACATTTCTGGAAAGTGCTTTGGCAATGTGAAGAGCTTCAAAAGTATTCATAGCCTTTGACTAATTAATTTGGCTGTAGAAATGTAAGGAAAGATTCCAAAGAAATGATACTTAGCATTATTTATAATAGAAAAATTAGAAATGACCTAAATGTCCAACATCATAATAATGCTTAATTAAATGACAATCCATGAATCATGGACAATTAGGCAGAATATTTAATCTGGGAAAGTATGATATAGTGTGGGGAAAAAGCATAAAATACATATGCTTTGAATCCAATTTTTTTGGGGGGAGGGATGTGGTGGTGAGGAAGATTGTCCCTGAGCTAACGTCTGTGCCACTCTTCCTCTGTTTTATATGTGGGATGCCGCCACAGCATGGCCTGATAAGTGTGTAGGTCCACACCCAGCATCCAAACCCATGAACCCCGGGCCACTGAAGTGGAGTGCACAACCACTATGCCACCGGGCCAGCCCCTCCAATTCTTTTTTTGTGTGTGTGAGAAAGATCAGCCCTGAGCTAACATCTGATGCCAAGCCTCCTCTTTTTGCTGAGGAAGACTGGCCCTGGGCTAACATCCGTGCCCATTTCCTCCACTTTATATGGGATGCCGCGACAGCATGGCTTGATAGGCGGTGGTTCAGCGCGCGCCAGGGATCCGAACCCCAGGCCGCTGCAGCGGAGCGTGCGCACTTAATGGCTATGCCACTGGGCCGGCCCCCAATTCTTTTTTTTAATACAATGCATATACGATTGAAAAAATATTGGGAGAGTATGCTCCTAAAGGTTACTGATGTCCATCTCCAGGTGGTGAGACTGTGGGAACTTTCTTTTCTTTTGATTTTCAGTATTTTTCTAACTTTCTATAGAGAAAATACATTGCTTATATTCTTAGAAGAAATATTTTAAAGAAAAATTGTTCTTGAAAAGTTCAGTTACACAGGAAAATCCCAAGAATATAACGTTAAGTATAAAATAGGTTCTGTCTATGTACACGAATTAATCTGTGGCGGGGGGAGGGGGGGAAAGCAATCAAGGGTCACCAAATAGCAAGTGGTTGCCTTTAAGGGAGGAGTTGTGGAGGATTTTATGTAGGTGATTGGTTTCTGCTTTTCCACGTTTTCCAAATTGCCTTCAATGAGCTTGTATTGCTATTATAACCAAAAGGGGGGTTATTCTCTAAAAACTGCTAAGAATAGTACCCTTCTATTTCTAGCGAGAAAATAAGGTCTAGCAGGGCAAAAGTGTCTGATCTAATTGTGCTTGACTTCAGAGCCAATGCATTTATTTGACTTGGTAGCAGATGAATGCCCTGAGTCTTAAAAAAGGCATGTGAAAGCATGACAGTTATCCTGAGAGATGTGGGCAGGTATTCTATTATTGAACATTTAAGATGATATACCAGTTGAGGGATCAAAGAACCACTTTGATCAGTCCAAGCCATATCTCCCAGTAGCTTCTATATTTACACCAAATTGCATTTTTTCTGAACTGACTCTCATATCAAGATGGATCCCAGCTCCATCTCCAGAAACATCTGCTCAAGTCCATTTTGGCCTAAATCTCAGCCAGCTGGCTTTCACCAAAGTTGCCCTGTCAATCATTAGAAAGGCCAAGGCACGACTCTGAATTTGATGCAGATAACTGGATGCGATCTACCGTCTACTTTTGGAGGGCAATGAAGTCCATCCATTGTGTGAGAAGTAGAAGTGGGGAGGTTGAAGGCATCTTATATTTTTCTTCTATACCCAACTATGTTTAAATGTATTAACATTGTGATCTTTAAGAAATTAATATGTGAGTTTTAGGAATCAGTATCTTAAAATCACCTAATAGCATTGTTTTGACCTGTTTCCTTCTTGCAGCAATGGCACAGTTGCGAATAGATTGCAGGTCTCATAACAGCCTCTGCTTTGCTTTTTATTTTGCAAATGTTGCATGTAAGGCTATTCCTAGGAGCTTGTCATTTATTATTCAACGAAACTCGCCAAGCTCCCCAACTTAGCCCCAACTTGTTCTCCAAGGCAATGTTAACCTAAATCAGACCTGAGAGCTGGGAAACACCTAGAAGGGAGCTAGGTAATTAGTGATGTGTGTACTCTGCCAGTTGTGAATAGAATGTCTCTTAAATTGCTTAGATTTTGTACCAATCTAAAGAACCAGAGAGAAATCTGCATATAACTTACAAAGGGAAAGTATTTCAAAGTCCAGTCGCCAGAAAAACCACTGCTAACAGTTTAGTAAATTGTCTTCCAGGTGATTTTTCTATGCATATGCATACATAGTTAGAATTATAAATAACTTTTTTTTCTAACACATCATGGACATCTTTCTATGTCACTATATAGAGTGCCACCTTGTTTTTTTTAATGGTTGTATAGTGTTCCACTGTGTGCCATTGTGCCAGAATTTGTTTAACTGCTCTCCTATTGATAGGATTTGATCTTCAGATACT